ACAAAGAAGGGCCATTGGATTTTGGGATTTATTTGTCACTGGAGACCTGTGGGAGTAGTGGGAGCCAAATTGCACATCCTCAAAGTGTTGAAATGGTTGGAAAGGAAGTAGAGATGGTGAGTGCCTCCTGGAAGAGGAGGGGAGGCAGCAGACAGAAAGTGGTTCAATGGGTTTAGAGCAGGGTTCCTCAACCCCAGCACTACTGACAGTTTGGGCCTGATGATTCTTTGTTGAAGGGAGCTGTCCTGTGTCCTGTCTCTGTCCCCACCCCCAAGTTGGGACAACCAAAGATGTCTCTAGACATCACCACATGTCCACTGAGGGCCAGATTCCTTGGGCAGGCAAGAACTTCTTGTCTGCAGGGTTGAATACGGCTGCTCTGTCTTCTGCTGGTATGGGGGAAGGAACTAGTTCAGAAGCAGGAGGAAAACCAAGGGCAGCTAGGGGGTGATGATTGAAACAGGGATCTGAGGAAGGCAAGAGGAAGTGGAGCAAAATCACAGTCTAGGAGAGGTAGCCTGAAGTTAGAGAGGGTTGGGAGAAGCATTTTTTTCAGGAGGTGATTGTTTTAGTTACATTAGATTGTATTAGTTACGAGCTTCTCACTAAGAAAGGAAAAAAGGTCACTGAGAGTGAAGTAGGCAAGATGTTTGATGCTGAGGGAATTATAGAAGGTTTAACTCCTGTGGAGATCGATTAATACACAAGTGAGTAAAAGCATTACTGAGCAGCAGTGAGGCCTGGCTGAATAGGGACTTTAAAAAATTATTGAAAACATCAGTTAAAATCTTGGGGACTATAAGCCAACCATCCTGACACTATTTTTATTTGTGCATTTTACTGTTTAGACTTATCTTCATGTTTTGCCTTTTTATTTTGCTTATTTCACATAAATTATAGATTTCAATGTTATTGAACTGTTATTTCAGTTATTTTTAATGGCTACATAATAGTTTATAGATCTGTTCTTTAATTTGCCAAATAATGCTTTAGTTACTGACTGGTTAGGTTGTTTTCAGTTTTTAAAAACTATTATACCTAAAGTTGCAGTCAACATTCTCATGCATAGAGCTTTGTTAGATTTTATTAGATGACCCAATAAAGGTTATATATGGTACTTAACACAGGAAATGTATTTGCTTAAATGTCACTTCTGTGAGGCTGTCTTTGACCCACCATATTTAAAATTGCAGCCTTCATCCCTGTTTTATATGTCTCTTTCACACTTGCTGTCTTCTAGATATTTTACTTATTTATCTTGATTGTTTTCTTCTCGCTTGCTAAGTGTATAAACTTCAATAGGATAGGGATTTTGGTTTGCATCACCAGCACCATGAACAGTGCCTGGCACCTAAATACTTGCTGAATGAATGAATGGTGGGGTTTAACAGACCTGTAAGCAAAATGGGTTTGGAAGATTGTCAGTAGCAACAGATACACATGGAAGCCAGTGGAAGAGTGATTGCAGTGACTGGTGTTTAGTATCTAGAGGGACTAGGAAACAACAAAAATCACAGGGACAGTGAATTGGGAGATTGAAGAATTAGCACCTGGAGGTAATTGTAACAACAAAAGCACATTCCTGTGGAAGGAGAAGGAGAAGGTAGAAATAGGTTGTGGTGAGAGAAGGGAATTTCCCAAGGTTTAGATATTAAAAATGGAACAACTTGAGAATTAATAGTGGCAAGATTAATGGAATACTCCATCTTGCTGGGAATGGACTGTATCATCTTTTAATTGCCCCTGCTTTGGCAAACAGTCCCCTCCTAAGATTGTTATATTTAGTTCACATTGAATGGTGGTTTATAAATCATGTTTTGTTTTCAAATTTTTTTGTTGAATTATGGCTATATGTGGTAATCTGAGTAAGCCAATAATGTCTGTCAGAAATTGATTAAGCATGTTAGTGGCAAGGTCAACCCAAGCTTAAAAGCTGAATGTACAGAGTTGTCTTCCCTCATTTAGTGTCGCTGATTGACTTATTGAGTCATTCACTGAAATTTTAAGTGACTGTTTTAAAGGTGCTTTTCTATTTGAGGTCATTACTCAGAGTAGAGCAGCTTGGTAAATGCATAAAACATGTAGCATAGCATATGCTAATCTTATTTTAACCTACTGTTGAGGAGCCACTTTTGAGTTTGTAAATTATGTAGTTTTTTGGAACAGCCTTTTAATTGTTACCCTCAGCCAGTGCATGATTTTCCATTATCTTGTAGGTTTTCCACTGCAGCATATTTCCAACTTTAAATTTTCAATTATTCTGAAGTGAATTGTTGATAGACACATACTATTTAGTAGGGAAAAACTCTGGAGAGTCAGTTGATGTAGTCTTTTTCTTTCTGTCAGTGGATAGTATGTCTATTATTTCTTAATTCTTTAGTTTCTTCAATTTCAAAACATAATAATGATCTCAAATACAACTTTCTTTCTTTGTCTATGAATCTTAGGGATGTGTTTCCAATGTACTGTTTGCTGAGGTGGGATAAAATCTACTGTTTGCTTAGGTGGGATATGGTGGATTCAAAGATATTAATGTTGTCAGGAAAGGAAAAGGAGAAAAGCATCCCAGATAAGGAGGAAAGGGATGATGGAAAGCACAATCTGTTATTTTGCCTGGTCAGAGCTACTAGGCAGCTAGTCAAAATGGTGTTTGAGGATTGTTTTCAGTATGTTTAAAGCTTTCAGAGGAAACGGGTTTTTCTGATAAAATCAGAAAACATGAGATTAGTGATTAAGAAGGGAAGATTTATTAGGCACTATTTTTGAATGACATAAAGAGCATCAGGAGGAGGAACAGGCAACATCAGTGTGTGACTTCTCCTTACCCAATACTATAAACATAGTTCTTCATGTGCATTTTCTCTCATTCTCAAAACAGTGTCTGGATTGTAATATCTCTTGTAGATTATGAAATTAAGGCCCAGGGTAGTTAAGAAATTTGTCTAACATCACATAGCAAGGAAGTAAAGTTCTGGGGTTTATAACCGGAAATCTCCATCCCTGTGCATTATACCATAAATCAAACTAACAAGAAAAGACAGCGACACCAAGGACCAGGGCTTCAGAAATTTGTATTTGTGTTGAATACAGAATAGGCAGTTTAACACTTGAAATGCGTGCCAAGGTACAGTTACCCAGTAATCTTAGATTGTATGGTGTGCCATTGTGTATCTCATCCCTGTTTATCCTATGCCCTGAGGTACCTTCATCTGGAGTGAAAACACAGCATAGATTGTGTATTGTATTGCAGCAGACATTATGGGCATGGGTGTACCTTCTAGAAGCAAGGGTGGAGTCAGAGGTGCTGTGGCCTTTAGAGAAGAAACAGACTTACCTTCTTCAAATCAATTGACTTGTAATAGTGGGATGTTTATTAAAGAGAGACCACGTAAAAAGAGATTGCATGTTTTGAGACTTGTCCTAGAAATGCTTTGTTATATACCTGTACTCTTGTTGGTTTTTGTTACACTTCCCTCTGTGTAACAGAGACGAAAAAAGAATTACTCCATTACTCAAAGCACTGTGTATGCATTGAGAGGCCCAAAAGGACTGAACTTCCGTAACTTCCCCATTAGGAGGAGAAAGCTGAATGTGACAGCCCCAATTCAAAGTTAGCCTCTCCCTTTTATTGTAAAGACAAGGAAGTTTCACAAGAAAATTCAGTTGATTTAATCATTACAAAGAACACAAAGACCTGGGCAGAATTATGGCTAAGTATAGTTTTAACAAATGGAAACTAGTAACATCAGTGAAATAAACAAAGTGACGTTCCATAATGCAATTTGTAAAAGGTTAAGTCAATTCACCAACAAAAGCCTATTCTTAGCAAACACTGTCTTTTCCTACAGCAATTTCCTTAGTATTTTAACACAACAATCGAGCAGCTTTCTTAACATTTCAATCAGTAGGTTAACCTGCACCAAGGACATCTGTCCTTGAGCCAGCAACTTTGCTGTGTTATAATTTGTTATCTACAACAGACACTTTAGCCTGGGGAAAGTTTCCTGTCTTTTGCAAGCTTAACATTTCTATATGGTAATTCTAAAAAGTTAGGTTATACCTGAAATTACAGGGCTTTGGAAGCTAGGCCCTGTGAAATACATTTGTTTTATAAATGTTAGTATCTGATGTGAATTGAGCAAAACAAAACTATTTTAAATTTAAATTTTATTTTTACATTTAAAAAATTTTAACTTGAAGTTTTAGGAACCAAGTGCTTCATTCAAAATAGGATTTGATAATTATATTGACAAGTATAGTGTAATATGGTATTGTAGTACTTTATGTAGTTGACTTCAAGAATTTTGAGGGTGTTTCCTCCATGTACTGTTACAAAAGTTGGAGTGCCCTTGTATAGATAGGTTGGAGTGGTTGGTTCTTCCCTTCCTAATATAATTGACTTCAATTAGTATGTGGTATAACTTGTTTTAAGAGCAACTGTTTTGGTTTTTTTTTTTGTTTTTTCTTTTTGCTGCTGAGATGCCATTTATTGTTCTTTCAGTTTAGGTCATATAAAATGCCCATTTCCAACTTTGCTGTTCAGATCCAGGCAATGTCTACCTTCTTGGTCTGTTAGTTTCTTTTTAATATGGGTATGTCCTCTTCCTATCCTCTTATGTTCTTCAACTGTAAGAGCAACTATTAATAAGCCTTTCACCAATTGAAAACCAGGCTAAAACCATCTTCCTTATAAGTCCCCATTATTTGATTGTTAGCATAACATTAACTATTTTAAGATCTCAGGCTTCTCTTTATCTTTATCAAAAGAACATCCTTAGGGAGGAATCCTACAGTTTTCATTTAACCCATTTTGTGATTTCTTGTGAGGAGGCTGGAACAATTAGTTATATGCCTGAATCATTGGGTAGCTATACAAACCAAATTTTTGCTGCAGAGTCTTAAAGAGCAATCAGGTTTGAAATTTTATGTAAGACTTAGAAGGTTTAGTCTATGGCTGGGTAGCAGAATATATATATTAACCAGAGATTGCTTACTTGCAGGGAGAATGCTAGAGAACCAGACTCCTGGAGCAGTTTATCGTATGAAATACCTTATGGAGACTGTTCTGTGAGGCATCATCGAGAGTTGGACATCTATACATTAACCTCTGAGTCTGAATCACATCCTGAACCCCCATTTCCTGGAGACAGTTGCACTGGACATATTTTTAAACTTATGAACATTCAACAGCAACTGGTAAGGAAGAACATTTCCATTTTTAGATGCATGTGCATGTGTGTGTATCCCCACACTCCTCCAGTTAGTTAACCTTGATGAAGTTAGAACATAAAAATGCTTTCCCTAAAGATTGTGAAACCTGTAAAGCAGTAATAGATGTTAACCACTAGCAGATGCAGAACTAGCATTAGGGTTGTAGCAATACGGGAACTGGGAGATTTTTTCATTGGTTTTTGCCAGGGTTTTGAAATAATGAAAGATAATCATAATCATACACACACATTAGATACAGAAATATGCAACAACTAGAATTAAATTTTTCTGGCATAAAAGGAAATTTGTCTCTGTTTGTTTTAACTTCATTAAACTAAATGAACATAACAGTTTCTGAGATTGTTGCCAAAAAACAAGAACCAAATTTACCCAGAAAGCCTTTTTACAACTATTTTACAGTGAGTGATGATAGTGTTACTATATTTAAATTGATAGTTGTATGGTAAAAAATCACTAAAAAAAAAAAAAAAAAAAAAATTATAATCCACTCAAGCCTTAAGATAAAGTTGTTGCCAGACATAAAAACATTACAGACTCTCTGGTAGCATTTATTATGGATAATATAAACGTCATATGGGTACATCTCTCTTGGCCATAATATCTGAAAGGCTAAGTTTAGATAATTTTTCTACAGTTTATGTCAGAGCTGATTTGATTTGGAAACAGCTGGACAATAATTTCATTTAAGGTCATCTAGGGTCAGTTTAATGCCAGAGACTTCTTTGGGAGCAGGCGTTGTTTTTGAGACCAGCTGGCCAAGAGACTTAGGTTGTATGATGCTTCTGCCTTTGCCTTTAGAATCAGGTTTTTTCCAGAGCAGGTGTCATTTTATTTTCCTCTGAATGGACTGCCAGGAAATGAGATTTGCTCGTAGAGTTCTTCTTACGAGATGAATGACAATCCACTTGAAAATATCAGTTTGCAGGTGCCAAAACTACCTGCAAGGTATGGGAATGGTTGACAGGAAGATATGAAAAGTTAAAACTTCTGAGAGGATACATGTGTTATGTATTCTTCAAGCAACATCACTTGTTTTTCCAGATCTCTGTTCTGTAATGTTGACCTTTCATTAAATTTGACGACCTGTTTTCATAATTTTTAAGAGACTGTCACACTTTGAACAGGAATGGAAGCAAGTCGATTTTAAATACTCCTAAGGGGCATAGCACAGAAGCTGTTAGCGAAATTCCCTTTTTCTTGAACTCTCTAGTAGAATGACTGTAGTGAGCATAACATATTTTGCACTTAAATGGGTAAACTTTTTATGATAGACACAGTGAGTAATTAGGAACAGTCTGTTGATGAAGTCCTATTGGTGCTCAATATATTTGCCGAGTAAGTGAATGAGAAGACAGATGACAGTAGATATGTGTGAGATTATTGATGAGAAAATGAGTAGAGTGAACCAGGTGTTTAAAAAGTTTTTGTGTTGAGCAAATAGTATTATTATAAGAGTTCCTTAAAATTTTGAGGTAAAGGTAAACTCACTGAAAGATCACCTTTTATTTTTCTCTATTTTTCTTTAGCCTTGTCTACATTCACATGGGATTTTTGCATAATTATAGGTTTTATTTATTTTTTCATCATTTCACTATAAACATTTTTTCTGACTGCACTATGGTGTTTATATTTAACATTTTTGTAACAGTGTAGTATTCCTTCTATTAGATTGATGAACAGTGATTATCTTAATCATTCCTGTGTTGTTGGTTGTATCTGTTTACATTTTGAAAATACTTTAAAGTTGTACAAACTGTTTTTGAGATGACTTACAATATCCTCAAGCCACAGTGGCCTCTGACAATAATCAAAAGTTAGGTATTTTTAGTGTTACATGTTCTCATTTATTTAATATTTCATATTGGACAACAGAGGAACTGCTTTTATCAAAAAGCGAGAGATTTATCATGACACTGTTCTCGCAATTAAGAACCCATAACAAAAATGTCAAGCCAGATTGGGTGGATCATATTTTGGGAATTAAAGGACACTGTGTAACTCCCAGAAGTATGTAGGGCACAGGAACATCTGGCTGCAACTTGTGATTGAAAAGAGTTTACCAAACTGGTTAGGATTTGTTTTTACTGGTATATATGAGGCCAGATGGAAGTAGTCTCTGCCCCTCTAAAGACCCTATAAAAATATCTTTCTCAGCTGCTCATTTGAGAGTATTCACTGTTCTTTTTTAAAATAAGGTTTTTGAGGCTTGATTTTAATCTGCTTTCTAAAATAAGTTTAAAATATAGAAAAAGCCAGTTTGTATGTTCTAAGCCATTTTAACATCCCAGTGGATATGCAGATGTGAGAGAGGAAAGTTACATCAGGAATAAGAGAAAATTTATTTGTATTTGTTTAGATCAGCTTATCACATGTCCCCAAACAAATTTATTTTACATTCAAAAAGGTAACCCTTTTATTTGAGTATTTGGAGGTAGAAAGAACCATGTCATGTTTTCCATATCCAGATTTTGATTTTTACAAACCTCAGCTCTAACTCACTTAGTCTCTATCTTCTCATGTTGGAAAAAGCTAACTTTTAACTAACATTAGATTTAAAGGAGGCAGTAGAGAGGGGCCAGTGTTCCATTTGGGTTTGAATCTTTTGAGTCATTGCTCCAATACACACTGCACACTTACTTGTGTAACCTTGCAAAAGTTTTTTTTTAACTCATTTCCTTAGAAGGGCTGGAATGACAATGAGTTATGTCCAAAAGGATTGTTGCTTATAGATGTCAGTGACATCTTTTTCTATGTACAGTTTTTTAAAAGTAATTTTCATTTCCTCCTAGAAAACAAACCTCAAGCAGATGGACAATCTTATGCCCTTAATGGTAACAGCACAAGATCCTTCCAGTTCACACAGTGCCCCGGGTACAGATGGTCAGTTCCTTCCCTGTGCACGAGAGCCCATGGGCAGCCAGCAGCTTTCTTCTCCTGAAGAGACTGAGAGCACTCTGTGCTGCCAAGAGAGGCCACTTGGGCAGATTGAGAGCTCCTACGATTTGTCTGGTGCAATTGAGAAAGAGAATACAGACTGTTCCTGTAGGAAGAAAAATAAAGGCGTGGAGAGAAAAGGGGAAGAGGTGGAGCCAGCACCTGTCGTGGACTCTGGAACTGTGTCTGATCAAGACAGCTGCCTTCAGAGCACGCCTGATTGCGGAGTAAAGGGCACGGAAGGCCTTCTGTCCTGTGGAAACAGAAGTGAAGAAACTGGAACAAAATCATCTGGAATGGCCACAGACCAGGAGTCTCTGAGCAGCGGAGACAGTATGCTGCAAGGAGACATTATCATAGAGCCGGGTACAGCCCAGCATTCCTCAGGAAGTGAACTGGCAGGTGGTTCAACAGACGCCAGTAACCCAGAGCCTGCAGGGGAAATGGATCATAGTCTCATGAACCCAGATGCTACTGTCCAGAAGAATATGCTTCAAGTAGGAGAAAGATTTGAGAACTATAATACCAGCACAACTGGAGCCTCTGACTTAGAAGTTACAAGTAAACCTGTGGATAAAGCCAGTGTTCCTAAGTTTGTCTCTGCTACCAGTTCCCAGGGTGGTAACAAACCTGCTGAGTCTTTACTTGCATTTAGTAATGGAGAGACCTCGACTGAAAAAACAGAAACTGAAACTTCAAGGAGAAATTGTGAAGAGAGTGCTGATGCTCCAGTAGATCAGAACTCTCTGGTAATTTCAGCTGCTGCAAATGCCAAGATTTCGGATGGATTAGAACCTGACAGTTCCTTAGCAGGCATATGTGAGGTAATGTCGCGCTCAGATTTAACCTTTCTTGGGCTAGGAAAAGATGTAATGCCAGGCCAGAAATCAGAAACAAACTCATCTCATGCACAACGCCAAAATAGCACATCACCCGTTTGTTCTACAGCTGGAGATGATAATCTTTGCACTGACGCTGCATGTCAGCAGAGCACAGTGACTTCTAGCGGTGAGTTGGTTGCAAAACATTGCAATGACATAGTTGGCCAGCCTGAAAGCACCACAACACGGCAGTCCAACACACAAGATCCACTCACTGCTGTCTGCTGTGAAGACCCACAGACTGACACAGTCACCTCTGACCCTGTAAGAGATAGCCAGGATCACGTAGATGTTTGTCCTCGAGAAGTTTTGGATAATGAGGACCAGGGAAAAGATTTGAAAGCAGATAAACCTTTAACAGATATGCTTGAGGTGGTTTTGCATCCGCATCCAGTTGTCCCTAAAACTGAGAAAGAACTGGTGCCAAACCAGGCAGTGACATCAGACAGCACTTTCTCTCTGGCAAGCAGTGCAGGCAGTGAATCAGTAACCAAAGATGACGCACTTTTACTTGTCTCCTCCCAGAAAGAAAAGGGAACAGCAACTCCTAAACTACATACAGCTACAGATTATAGAGGTGGCCCAGACGGAGATTCAGATGATCCCAATAAGCAGCCACTAGAAGACAGTGCAGCAGACCTGTCCACATCCTCCACTGCTACAGAGCTTCAGTCCAGCATGGGGAATACCAGTCCTGTAGGACTTGGTGGGGAGCAAGAGGATCCTGGCCTCTCAGCAACACCTGAAGTTCTGGATATCATGAGGGGCACTGACTCTTCTCTACCAAGTGTGGGTAAGGCCACTTTGGCCTCTGATTCAGTTTTGACTGAAGAAGGAAAAAATCTGGTGGTTCCAGAAGGTGCTGCCACCCAGAGCCAAGATGACAAGGATAAAGCAGTGACTTGTTCCTTCAGTAGAGAAGACCCTCTTTCTTCAGGAACATTGCAGGAAGAGCAGAGAACACCATCCACTGGACGACAGACACCAGGATTCTGTGAAAAACCTGTCTCAGCTGCCTGGGCTGAGGACAAAGCACTGCAGCACAGTAACTCACTGGGCACACCCTCTGCCTGTCTTAAGGCAGAAACTAAACATAATAAGGAAGTGTCCTCACCAGTCTCACTGCCGACTGAAGGTGGGGCTGCACAGTTCCTGGTGCCACCAGGAACTAGTCTGGCTGCAGACTCAAGGCAGGAAGCTTTGGTTGCAGAGCAGAACAGCTCACCTCTGTTGCCAGGTCTATTGCCAGATGGGGCTGAGGCTCTTAATTGCAATCAACCTCTTGCTGTGAATGTTGGAGTAAAGAATACTCATTGCCAGGGAAAACCCAGTGCCTGTGAGGTGAGTGGAAATGTGATAGAGGATGTTGCCCTGCTTAATGCTCTACAGGATACTGCTGGGACCAGAAGAAAGGATATATCACACGGCCCTGAAGACATACCAATTCTAGAAGTCTTGTCGAACCAGGAGAACATGATCCTGGGTTTGCCAGGAGCTTTGCCAGACAAAGGTGTGACTGACCTGCAGGGAGCTGCAACCCCAGAGATGGTGCCTCTTGATTGGGAGAAAGGGAAGCTGGATGGAGCAGAGCATAGCTGCACCATGGTCGACTCCAAGGAGGCACAAATGGACAAGGACGCACATCCTGTCCTGCTGCAGCCTATAGCCAAGGAGCTCCGCACAGAGACAGGGCTCTCCACCCATGGTGACAAGGCTGCAGTTGGCATGAGGGAAGCCTCAGCCACAAGCAGGAAAGGGAGTGCTCCCTCTCTGCCTTGCACGGTCTCTGCCCTAGCTACGTATCTGCCTAAGGGAGCAGACTCGATAGAGGAGGCTGCCAGTCGCATAGTGGATGCTGTCATCGAACAAGTCAAGGCCTCAGGAGCACTGCTTACTGAGGGGGAAATCAGTCATAAATCAGTGTCCCATCCTGAGTCGGGTCCTCTGACTGGACAGCTAGAGGATGCTTCTACAGAAAAAGTGAATGCTGTCCTGCCTGGGAAGACCCCACAAACAGACAGTATTCATGAAGAAACCACGGGGAACCTTGCAGGGTGTTTTGCTGGAAGGGAGAAGCCAGAGATTATTCTGCCTGTCCAAGGGCCTGAGTTGGCAGCAGGTAAGCAAAGTAGAATACCAAAGCTTGAGAAGCGTATTCCCCTCAGAATCTCTGTGATGTGCTGGTGAAAATGTAGGCATCTTTGTTGTTCAAGGCCTTGCACTCATTAGGTAGGTTGCCAAGTTAATAGTTACCACCATCAAGAAAGGCATGTCATCTCAGGGGTTGGACAGATTTTGCTTCCCATATTGTAGAGTCACAGCTTGATTGCTTAAACCTGTAAGTACTGTCACACTGGAGCGGTTGCAGCTTTGCGAACCTGGAAGACAGTGCCTAGATCACAGGTGCTATAAAATGATGAAGGAATTTAGTACGTGTTTTTATTCACATGGCTTAGTCCCTTTCTCTAAAGCCATAGAAAACATTGCTGAGGGCCGATCCCGTGGCGCACTTGGGAGAGTGTGGCGCTCCCGCCCGCGGGTTCGGATCCTATATAGGAATGACCGGTGCGCTCACTGGCTGAGCGCGGTGCGGGCGACAACAAGCCAAGGGTTGCAATCCCCTTACTGGTCATGAAAAAGACAAAAAAAGAAAACAGTGCTGAAAAGGTGCATTTTATTTACAAGCCTGATACTCCCTTCTTCTATCATCCTAGTCTGTATTCTGAGAAAATTTAGAGTCTGTGGTTCATGAACAGCTGTATCATTCTAGGCTGATGGCCCAACATTCAAAATGGTGGTATTAGGTCATTGGTTTGGGGTGGATGGGTGGGGGACTCCCTCCTTTTCCTGACTGAGGAGAGGCTCCAGTTCCATTGCCTGTTGCTTTTGGGCAGCAGTCTGGGAATTCAGGACCCTGCACACTGCAGGGGATAGGATGCAGGATTTCCGCCCAAGCCTAGTCTGCTGAGCTGCTGTCACAGGGCAGACCTTGTGTCTGCTTATCTTGGTGAAGCAGCTGCACCGAGCAGATTGCTCACACAGCAGCCTGTTCCATCTGTGGGTAACCATGTCCACAGACAGCAAAGAGAAACCACTATTGCTCAGTGGAAATAAACTATCTGAATAAAATAAAACATCTTATTGGGGTTTGAGGCTGAAGCTGAAACTGGAGTCAGACTTGGTCTTGACTCCTGAAGTCTTTAAAGGTCGGTTTGATGCGCACTTTTATATACTACCACCTGTTACCAGCTGGAGGACCTGTCTCCATGCTTGTCCTCAGGCTTTCGTAGGTAAGCAGTAGCCGGTTTTATCTTTACTATTTCATTCGGTTTTATCTTTACTATTTCATTATTTTTGCTGTTCTTTTTAATTTTCAAAAATCTCTTTAAGTGTAGTATATGTTAAGAGTCGGGGGAGGGATATGGAGAGAAATGAACAAACAACAAAGAAAGAAGTTGCTTAGGAACAAGAGCAGTTTAACTGCAGTAGTCATTTTCTCTGGTAAAGGGCTTTTAACCATTTGTAATCTTTTTTTTTTACTTTCACAGTTAACCGATTTAAGGAACCTGAGGTAGAATTTTTATGACTTCAGGTTTTTTGTTTCATTAATGTTATGGATATTAGTGATAGAAATTTGTTGGCTTCTATATCAGAATTTAAACGAAAAGTTCTTTAATTTTAAAAATAAGGCACAACAACAAATCTATTTTGGGGGCACTGGCAGGTTGGCATTTCAGAAGAATGGGAGTGGCTGTAAGCTGATGCCTGGCTATGTTCTTTTCATTTGGGTGCTGCATCCTTGGCCACGTGGGCTGGAATTATTTCTCTTTCTGGCTCAGTGGTCAGAATTTAACCCAAGTGAGTGTGAACCATGTGGGGTTTGTGTCCATAGTACTCTATGAGAAAAGGTAAAAACGAGGGAGAATTTCAGACTTTGGTTCTTAACAGTACATAAATTTAGTAAAAATGCTAAGAAATAATGTTTAACATTTTAAGGTTTTAAGGGGGAAAGATATGTAAGTTTCAACAGTGTGTGTGGGTTTGGGGTTGGTAAATTTTGTGTAGGCAAGTTACTTGTTCTGCTACCAAAAGAGTCATTATAGGCTCAGTGCTTGTGGTCTCAAACTACAGAGAAAAGTAGCCAGTGATGAAGAAATCGGTGCTTTCTTCAGAAAATAGCCAGGATTGGGGAAAGTCCCTGGTGACAATGCCCTAGAGAAAAAGCACCTGAGTGTGATCTCAGAGCCAAGGGGTATTTTCTAGGAAGTTTACATTGCATTCATGGATTTAACCACACTGTTTTCGAGTGAGGAGACGTAGGTTTAACTGCTGTGTTGGAAGGAGCCAGATGGAAAGAAGGGGATGTGGCCCTCAACCCGTCAAAAGTGTTGATCACAGTGCTTCGGGAGTTGGTGGAGCATGACTGAGCCAGGCCAATCCTGCGGAAACTGCCAACACCCCTCAAGTCTTAGCAATCACTGTTTACTGTTGTGATTGGTTGCTGTTTGCCAAGACACATATTTTTAGTTGATGGGTATAGGAAAGTAAGTTTGTGCCAAAAATCACATCCCCAAATAAAATAAAAATTATCAGCAACTTGCTCTTCACACAAAAATTACTCTGACTCATTTAGAAATGTTTTGATCAAGGGATACTTCTAAGGGGATTGCTTTGTCAGAATTTTTTAACTTTAACCACGTTTTCTGAAATTTAACACAGATTTTGGTTCTTTGGGCAAGGAAACTTGTTTAAAGTTGCTGGTAAGATTATATTATTATAAGGGTAAAGAGAGAATGAGATTTAGAAATGTTTGTTTATAAGAATATAACTTTCCTAAATCTAATGAAGGCTTTTCTGCATGTCACATGTGCTGCTAGAATGAAATCTTAATTAAAATAATTTATTCTTTGGTGAAAGAAATCTCTCTGCTTTTTGGTGTGGGGAACAGTTTTCTGTGCCAGAGTAAATGGCACTACTAGATTAATAACAACCACAAAAATTTTCCACATGAAATTGAGATGATAGTTCTATTTGTATTTAGATTATCAAGGGGAATTTTGACTGTTCAATCATTGGTCCCCTTTAAAGAAGTGTCAGAAGCCTAAATTTGCCTCAGACATCATTGTTATCACTTCCTTCCTGTATTTGCTTGACCAAATGGTGGTCAGGTAACAAAAACCACTACTGTTTGGTCTGTCGAGCATAGCCAGCAAGAGGACAACTACATCATTCTAGAGAAAATGTGTTTAAAAACTTTTTTCCTTAAGAAAAGGAATTGCTAGTTGATGAATACATTTTGGTTTTAGAAGAAATAAGTGGAAAATGTCATAACTGACTAGGAGAAATCATTCTTATGGATTGCAGTAATGGGTGGGTCAGGGTGTGTAGTATGTTTTTAAAGAAAGTCAGACTCCTCCTAGAGGCTTTGTCTCATTCTCAGGGCTTTTTTTATTTTTTGTCTTGTACATACCTCTTGCCTTTTTGATGGTGGCCAAGAGTGACTCCCTAGCCTCAGCTGTTAATATGTTCCCTTAAAGCTTATGAATTTACTTTTCCATGTGCAGGTCAGCATCACACTCATAGATTTGTCATGAAAAGTCAATAGTGAAAGAAAATGGATGTTCAGGAGACATCGAATTGGATGTTCCCTTAGCTCCAGACTCATACAGAGACTGGGGAAACCACACAACCATGTGATAAAAGCATAGCTCAGCACAGGGTCAGAAGTGACACCAGCTTCTAACAGCAAAAGAGTATTTTTCCATTTAACACAGAATCAAGAACAAACAAAACACATGAACCCTGGAGCATGTTGTGTGAATAGTAAGGCACAGGAATCAGTTTTTTCAAATGTACTCTGTAACCCCCTTGTTCTCTTCAGAAATGCCAGACACAAAAGCTGAAGATGAAGTGGATTTTCTAAGTAATACCAGAGTGAGGTCAGTTTCTGAAGAGCTGGCTGTAGGGAGGGAAGTCACTGCGCCTGAGATGAAACAGGGCCTGCAGATCAAGGAGGTAAGTGGCGTCCGTAAGTCTTCATGAACACAAAATGTGTTTAGCCTAGTCTTCTGTGTCTGCTACGTGGCCTTGTTTTTTGTTTGGGGGATGAAGGGGCATGATATCATTTTTTCCCTTCTTTCTTGTTCTGTTATGTAAATGTGGATGTGTTGTTGCAGTTAAGCTTTCATAAATTGTGTGCATCACACACAAAAGTTTTGGAATGGGCTCTTCTACATGAATCCCTTGGAGATTAAAATGGAAAACATTTTCCCCGTGAGCATAAGACTTTGAAATTTGTCATGAAGCTTAAATTGTCACAAAATGAGACTTACCACAAAAGGGGATCTGTAAACCCTTCTTAAACCCGACTCTTCTTTCTTTATATAGGAACTGATAGTAGCAAAAAATGAGATTTTACCTTATAGCTCAGTAGTAATCACCTAAAATATGAAGAATGTGATTTTTAGTGATGGAAAAAAAAGACTTAGTAAGACTTTTTTTTTTCATAACAGCTTTATTGAAATATAATTCACATACCATAAATACACCTATTCAAATAAAGTGCACAGTTCAGTAGTTTTTAATATATTTACAGTTTTGCAACTGTCACCACTAATGTTCTAATTTTAGAGCATCACCTCAGAAAGAAGCCCCCTGTACCCATTAGCAGTCCACCCCTCCCCAGTCTTCTGTCTGCCCCAACTCTAGCAGTCACTAATCTACTTTCTTTCTCTATACACTTGTCCATTCTGGAACTTCATAAAAATGGAATCATGCAATATGTGGTCCTTTGTGACTGGCTTCTTTAAATGTTTTCAAGGTTCATCCATGTTGTAGCATTGATCAGTATTTCACTTTGTTTTATTGACAAATAACAATTTGTTAGATGGATATACCACATTTTGTTGTACATTTGGATTGTGTCCCCTTTTTGGCTATTGCGTATTATAATGCTGTGAACATTTGTGTACAGGTTTATGTGGACATATGCTTTCATATACACAGTGGGATTGCTGGGTCATAGAGTACCTATATCGTTTATTTAATATTCAGTAGGTTTTAAAAAATATTTTTTTCAGAGTCTTGATTATTTTTCTTCTTGTTTAAAGCCATTCACTTTTAAAACAAGGGAACTTATTGAGGGAAATGGTGCTCTTCACTTAGATTCCATGCTGGTCAAAGAAAAACCTTTAGAAAACTGTAAATGAAGTTAATTGACTAATTCATACTGCCCCTTCGAAGGTCAGTCTTCCTTGGCTAGACTTGACAGTGCACTGTTTTTGGTCTTCAGAGGGCTAGATACTATTTTCTCTTAAAGTTACTGCAGTGGGTAAACAGAACTGTACTATGCCAAACTGTTTCAAATGTGTGAACTGTGATAAGAAAACCTTGTCTTATTGAAGTGCAGTGATACGAAGGTGCTGACCATTCTAAGCCACCCCTTATTACAGATAATATTTGTGATTAATGCCTGGGTGGGTATTGTATAACAAGCATTATTCAGACAAATGTGTCTTTTGCCCCAGGGGGAAGAAAAGAGAACACACCCTGCATGGGTACATGTGTCTTTGTTTTCAGAAGCCCCTCAGAAAAAGAAGGAAAAAATTCACATCCTTAGATTCAAATGCCTGTTTCCTAGTCCTCCATCTTAATATCATAGTGATCAGTGTCTTTGAATCCAGTCTGATGGTTGGCTCTCAACAGTTTGCTTTCTGGTTGAGGGATATCTCTGTCCTAATTGCATCATGTCTGAGAAGAAAACAAAACATTATTTAAAAAAGAAAAGTCCCTTCTCTCCCAGTCTATTCTCATTTTTCATCTGGTTTTAGGAAGTGAGAGAGAGTATTTCTCTGGTTGGTCAGCATGCCTCATTGTATGGATGAAAGAATAAACCTTCAGAGAGTCACATGACTAGCTCAAGAACATACCCAGCTGGAGGGAGAGTTTGAGGTTTTATTTCTAACCTAGGACTTACATACCAGCACATTCCTTGACTCTTACCCTGGGCTTTGTGATTGATGGAAATGTTTTAAGGAGCCTCAGGACCATGCAATTTGTCTCTTGCTTGGGAATATCTATGCTTTATGCTTTGTGTCTGCTTTTATCTTGTATAGTTAGAGAAAAGCATATGTCAGTGAGATTTTCAGTTCTTGAAAATTTTCAGGTCCTAAATAGTGGAGACTTTTGTGGTCACAGCATTGTTATATAACTATGTGAAATCAGATGGCTTATCTCTCCTCCCTGTTACTCTGCCCAGCTTGCCCTGTGTGCTGTGAATTGAAAGGGTAAAGCATGGACACAAACTTTAATTTTTCCCATATCTCATTTCCTCTCTTTTCTTGTTTAATTCTTCATATACTATAGTCATTGTATTGGTTTTCACTGGCGTAGGAGAAAGCAGAGGTCTGCAGACTTCTTTGTAAAGGACAGATAGTAAACATTTTAGGCTTGTGAGACAGTCTCTGTCACACTAGTCAACTTTGCTGTTACAGTGTGAAAGCAGCTATGGATGGTATGTAAATGAATGAAGATGACTGTGCTTCAGCCAAACTTATGGACACTGAAATTTGAATTTCATATATTGTTCTTGTGTCACAAAATATTCTTGTTTTGAATGTTTTCCCTTATCAATTAAAAATATAAAATCTACTCTTAGGTTTTTTTCATGGGCTGTACAAAAACAGGTGGCAGGCTACTGGCAATACCAAGGGAGCTCCTGGCCTAAAGAATACTTGTGTACTAGTGGATGAGAAGAAAGGGAAAGCAAGTAGATTTCTTTTCCTTTCCTTTCTTTTCTTTTTTAAAAATTGTCTTATGATGAAACCTCTAGTTATTAAATTGTAAATTGGGGGCAAGAAGTTCTAGTTCTGTCTCTCCTGAACCAGCTTTTTGACTTAGTCTCTCTAAACCTCAGTGTCCTCTTATTCATCTCCTAGCCTTAACTTTCTAGAGTCTGTGTTTGCATTCTGGAAAGGGTTAATTGAGCTTATGATTGTAGTTGAGGGTGGAGTAGCATTTGTTTAATATTATTTAATCCAATCTTTCTGACACATGCCTAGTTGTTTCATTGAATCATTGTTTCATTGAATCATCCTCTTCCAAATGTAGAACAGAACAAATTGGTGTATCTTATGCTTTGCTACTAGCTTGAAAACCTAGACCGATGGTGAATTTATGGCAATTTTCTAGTAAATGTAAATAAAGAATTAATTTAAATTCTTACGGGGATGTTCCTATTTTGTAACCTTCTCTAAACATATAATTGTCAGAGCATAGGCACCTGTCAGAAGTGCCACTACCAAAGATTTAAAGAAAAAGCTACAGTTGGGTTCCTGTTTTCTGTAGTTTAGTGGTCTGATATCTGTCATACAAACTGAGGAGTAATTTTTCATTCCTTAACCTGCTTGACACATGTGCTGTAAATAAGCCCTTACTTGAGGTCAAATGCTAAAAAACATGGCTTATAAAGGAATTGGGTAAGGTTAATTTTTTTGCTTATATTTTCAGAATACAATTTTGAGGTAATTTGAGATAATTTAATATGCTTATGTTCTCAGAAAATAAATGTATGTGTTAAATGCTGCAAATTTCTTTTTTGTTTATTTTCTGGTGGCTGGCCGGTATGGGGATCTGAACCCTTGACCTTGGTGTTACAAGGTGGTGCTCTAACTGAGCTAACAGGCTGGCCTGAATGCTATAGATTTCTTGATTGCCGCAATTGGTATTTGTTCACTGGGTTGAATATTGTTCACAGTTTTGAAGCAAAATTATTAATTTACACATAATGTGGCTCATTAACTGATTATTTTATGATCATTTTTTGGTTGTGGTTTAAATATTGCCCATGTTTTAATACTAGTTAAAATTTAATATTCAACATTATCCCTCTTTACATACTTTACTTGGTTCAAGTTTCTCAGATTACCTTTTGTTGTTGTCTTTTTTTTCCTCAATGAATTAATATATATGAAATGCTTAGAGCAGATCTGGGCACATAGTATGTATAGCTTAGCATTATTATTATTATTAATTAGTTTGTAAGTTTAGATTCCAATATCCTGTTCATTCATTTAAACAGTAGAATGTGGTGGTTCAGACTCAGTTACTGTTTCTTGAACATATTGTTATAAAAGCTTCAGGAATTGTATCGTGCATTAATTTAAAGTTGAGAGACATGGGACTTGCTTTACTTGCCAGACCTTTAGAATTTGAAGGAACCGTAAAGATTATCTGAAGTCCAGCCCCTTTGCTTTATTTATAGGAGAAGTGGATTCAGGAAGGTTAAATGACTTCCCTCATTTCACACCTAGTAAACTGTCAGCTGGATTAGAGTCCAACTTCTTTTTTTTTAAATTATTATTATTATTATTTTTTTCCTTTTTGTCTTTTTTTGTGACCGGCAACGGATCGCAACCCTCAGTGTCACGCCCGTACCGGACCGGGACCGGCAATGGGATCGCAACCCTCGGTGTTGCTCCCACACCTCGCTCAGCCAGCGAGCGGCCGGTCTGTATGTGGGATCCGAACCCTCGGCGGGAGTGCCACTGCGCTCCCAAGCGGCGCACTGTAGCAGTGCGCCACCGGGCCGGCCCCTAGAGTCCAACTTCTGTGCTAGTAATGTTTGCACTATACTGTTTCCTAAAGAGTTATCCCGAGGAAGGCACACTTGGGAAATCCAATTCACTTGATTTAGGATGGGTTTTAGCTTTCTAAACAAGTATCCCTGAATCATGCTTATACATACTAAATTCTAAAACTATTGCATTTTACTCCCACGATTTCACTGATAGTTGGAGAAATTCCTTTGGCCATATTAGGATCTAAGCTGATTAACTTTAAAATAAGGCTCATGTATTATAATCTGTTTAGCCTCACCTAAATACCACCCAGATGGTGTTTGTCCAAAGAGCTTGCTTTTGGTGCAGATATTAATAAGATTTTCCAGATCTGCCTTTTATTTCCTAAAGAATGATATGAAGAGATGCAGAGCCAGGTGCCGAATGGGAAGCAGGAGA